GGGTTTTAACAGAAAAGAAAAATGCAACCCAACCAGGTGAGAGATGGCTGGGCTTTTAATAACAAACTATTTTTTCATGTCTTGATGCACAAAGAGTCTATGGTGATTCCACCTAAATGCTAGTATCAGTCATTGATTTATAATTTTCTTTTTATTAAGTAGGTTAAATATATAATTTCCTTACAAAATTAATAGTTTCTCAAAATGCTGCAGTATTGCATTTTACTAGTGTCATCTGAATAAAGCCTATACTAGCCCATTTTCTAATTTTGTGATAACAGCATTAATTCAGCCTAAATACTCCTTATGAAATAACTATGATGAATGGGATACTACATTTTATGTTTGAGAAAAATTAGCTTTATAATAGGATATTTGGAAGTCATGGCTCAATTAAAAGAGCGTAAGTTATTTTTCTGATAAAAAAGTTATATTACGTAGAGTTTCAGTGCATTGAGTTTCTTTTAAAAGTGAGATAATGACTCAAAAAGGAAAATAAAAAACAGATATGTTAAGTCATTTCCGTGATTGCCATACTCTGACCTTTCTTTCCAAAATAAGTGAAATTTCAGTCCACCCTGTGCTTTTGTCGTGAGTTTTAAACTCAGTCTCTTCCAAGAACCCTGAAAATAACAAGCAAATCAGGGTTTGTGAGCTGCCTCTTTTGCTCACCTTTCCTCTTACACTTTTAAAAAAATGTTGATGAAATTAATTATGGGTTTATTGGAATACAGAGCTTGCTTGTAAGAAAATAATTGTTACACTTTGAGTTGTCATACTCCAATTAAAAGCACTGTACATGTGATTGCTTCCAGCTATAAACTGTGCTGCAGTTGAGGAGAAGTTATGCCCCAGCCCAAACATCTGTACATCCTTGTAGTCCATACATCCTCATTAACTGCAAGATTAGTTAGAGCAGAATTTGACTGAGTCAGAGATATCTTTTTGGCAAAGTCAGTTTAACAAAATAATAATCCAAATGCTGTTCACTGCTCCAAAGAATCTGTAGGTTTTCCCTTAAAGCTCTTATTCCTTTTATAATCATGAACTCCTACAATGCTCTTACAGCTGACACCTCTCTGTAGCTAGTCTCTCACAAGTAGGCATGGATGACTCTTCAAATAACATTTATTACTAGCTGGAAACCGTTAAGATGCTGTTACTTTAAAAAAAAAACAGAACTGGTAGATAATCCATCTGGAGAGAACAGCAGAGTGCAAGTCTGAACAAAAAGCTAACATTCAGCTTGCTGGTGAAGATGTTCAACTGTAGGAACCATAGTTTTTTCTTTTCCTCTCTCCTAAAGTATTTCCAGTAGTTTCAGAAAGTTGGTAAGGGGTGAGAAAGTAGTGCATACTTGTATCTGCAGGGATTCATAGCAGCAGGGGGAAGCTGATATTAATGTGGAGAAAAGTCCAAGCTTCTGTATCAAATGTCTGAGAAAACATAGGGCGAAGTGAATTTCAAGCCAATATTTGATTCCTAAAATTGGAATCAGTAGGGATTTTTTAAGTCTTTAGTGTTAACAGAGGGCTTCCCTGTGTCTTTTTGTAATTGTCCACAGTATTCCCGCCTAAGTTACCACTGTGCAATGATAAACTGTGGAATAGAAATATTATAGTAAAAAGTTAGGAGACACCTTTGTTATGCTCAAGCACTCCTTGTTAGGCCACGTCTGGGTACCGTGGCCAGGTGCTGCTCCTGGATGCAGCAAGGCACAGCAGGCATGAACTGAAACAAGAGGGGTTCAGGCTGGGTGCTGAAACCCCGCTCCCCACTGAGGACAGGCAGGGCAGGGGCAGGCAGAGGGACGGGCTGCCCAGGGAGGTGGGGCAGGCTCCACCCTTGGGGGTTGTCAAGACCCGGCTGGGCAAAGCCCTGAGCAACCTGGTCTGATCTCACAGCTGGGCCTGCTTGGGGCAGGGGTGCACCAGGGACCTCCTGAGGCCCCTTCCAACATGGATTACCCAGTCATCTCAGGTGAGTTTTGCAGCACTGGGACAGTACACTCACTATACCTGTCTAAAGCATCTTCTTGTTATCCTATTTATAGAAAATATTTTCTTCAGAAACTCACCCATTTTACACAAAGTCAAAAATAAATACACAGTACTTGTTTGCTAGGGATACACTCTGGCTTCTCTGTAAGTCTTTTAGAAGTTAGCCAACATATGCGGTTACACTTTTTCCTCAGACTCTCATGACTCTGCTCCAGCGAGGAGCTGAAGATGCCTATATATAGAAAATTACTACAAGTACCTTTATATAATACAGATTATTTTGAAACAAAATATAGGATTCTTTCCCACCCCCCAGATTAATTAAATAAGGGAATATGAAGTATATTTTCTCATATAATCTTGTATTTAGAAACTAAAGGTGTGCATTTCTTACAATGACTGAATACAGTAAAAGGCATAACAGATCTCTGTCTACATAGTTTTCCCAAAAGATTTGCTGCGTATCTGTCCACTGCTTGTTTCTGACAATTTAGGATGATATTTTAGCTCAATGGTAGCTATCCATAATTCTTTGTAGTATTTCATCTTACAGATATAAAGGAGAAAGGTAACCATTTTTTTCCAAGAGCCCTTCATGAATGCCATGAAAAGATATCAATGTACCTATGAAACAAAAGGCTTCTGCAAATAGGAATACAAGAAAAAGTCTTTCTACTTGCACATTTTCAAATGAATTGCAGATGTCAGGCAAATCAGTAAATCTTTCGGATATCAAGAAAAATAAGGATCCCAGCCACTTCCCCCGAGACTCTTTATGTAAAAGGTGGCACAATAATTATGTAGGTGGATTATGATCTATAGGCAAGTGCACTGACTAATAACATCTAAAAGTGACATTTCCTTTTCAGACAAATTTAATATGAGCTGCAAAGATGCATTTTGCAGTCAATTTGCTTGTACAAAAGCTAAATCAGGCATGCACTTATAATTGTACTGTATGCATTCTCCAGCTCAGCCTCTGGTTCTACCGCCTCTCCCAAGTCAGTTACAGTGGGTAGAGCTGGCCTGATTTTTTTCAGTGCATAGCACATTTGCGTAAATACACAGTTTATGAAACAGCACCACTGAAGCACTCCAATCAGATCTGGCAAAAAATAATGGTCACGGAATGAGGGCAAGGGAGGGAGCAAAAAAACATTGACATGTTCTATTCTGACAGCTTGGAAATGAACTTTTTGACTTTTTGAGACAGCTTTTCTGTTAGAAGAGGAAATGTTAAGAAAGATTCAGAGTTAGATCACTGAAAGCTACACAGAACTAAGAAGAGCCTTTCCAATGAAATGAAACATTTCAAGTTAACCAGAATGGCTATATAGTTTTTGTTTCATTAATTCCTTTTTAAAATGTCAATACTGTGTAAACCAGGTGGGGTTTTTTTTCAGTTCACGCGTAAAAATGAAAGATCAACCATGCAGTCAACATTAAGTTTGAAAATCTGTGGGCAACGTAGCTGTTACCTGGTGAAAAAAATGTTTTTCCTGCCCGCTTGAAAAATTCTCATGTGCTCAAGACTTATAAGAATATATTGTAACTTTGGGAGACCTGAGGATGTCATTGGAAGTATGGATGAATGCTGTAATATTGGCTTTAGCAGCTAGTCTTCTGACCTCCATTGCTTGTTGCTGTCATTATGACAAAGCTTAAATAGGCACAACCAAAATCAAAGAATAGCACTTCAAGAGCTGTCATAGAAGAAAAATTTCCATTTTAGAGTGCTAAATGAGGGCCTCTGCACCCAGGTCAGCTGTAATATGTCAGCCCCACAGCTAAGGCCAGCTCTCAAAGCGGGTGGAAAGAGTTAGGAAAACTGAAATGGAGCTGAACAGAGAAAGAACTGAATTCAGCTTTTTCTTCTCTGAAACAAACCTGATTATGGCAAGGAAAGAATATGTATATATGTTAATCACAAAATGAAGAGAAACCTGGAAAAGAGAGATAAATCCACCAAAAACTGCATAGCCTTGCCAGTGCAGCATTTCCTGCAGCCTCATCAGCCCTACCACAGAGCGGTGGAGGGGGGAGACCTAGGGATACCAGAACTGCAGTGGGGTTCCCTCCTACCATCCCCATCCATTCACGGTCTTGTGTCCCAGCTCCGAGCCTGCCTCCAGCCCCTGAACTCCAGTGGGGAGCACCATGTTGGCACAGCTGACGGCTGAGCCCCATTTGTTGTGGCACCCTGGGATGACAAAGCCAGGCAAGCTCAGAGCCGGCTCCGGGCACTTTGCTGCGAGCTGTTCTGCTTTGCATGGATGTGCCATCAGTCAGAGGGGGAAGAAGAGAAGGGTTTTGCCCTTCTCTTTGAAGAAATGCCTGTGCATTGTACATAGCTTGGGAACTCTTACAGGATCAGGCCTCCTCTTGATGTCTTGAAGAAATGTATCTAAAAGGCTATGACATGAAAACCTGGCACTTTACAGAAAGTGACAGTTGATGGCTGGAGAACCCTGAGGCAGGGTAAATAATGCCCACAGGGAGGCTCTGCTGGGAGGAATCTTGCTACATATAGTTTCATATTAAAAGCCATTTTGTTTCTTGTGGGAGGAGGCAAGAGAAAAAAATAAACCCATGTTATAGCTGTTGCTAGTATCATGTAATGCAGTGGTGAAAAGCATTGCAGTGATGACAGCAATATACAAACTCATGTGAAATAGAATAGAATCTAAAATAGGAGGCAACACAAACATTTGTTGAGTGTTATCAGCTGATATTTGTGTGAAAAGAAATAGTACAAATGAAATTTTGTTAATGTATTTCACTTCCATGAACTTTAAATGACTACAGGTGGAACCCTAGCAAAAAAAAAAAAAAAAAAGGAAAAACTGACTTAAAACTTCCACATTTATCAATGGACTTGAGAATTTAGTGATTAATTACATTAATTTGGTAAAGTAATTTGGGTTTTATGTATTAGTTTCTTTCTGCTTAAATATGGAAGCCACTAGTTAATAGGAAGATGACAAACTTTTTCTCTGTCAGGTGCTGAAACTAATCTGAACTTGAGGAGCAGGGAAGATGCAAATACATCAGATATTGGACCAGAAACCCAGGACAGAAATGCAAATAACCGTGGAACTCAGTCATCTAATCCACTGTCCAGTTCTGTGACTGCTGAAAATGGAAATTCCGTATCAAACGGTAAGCAGTTTTTAATCTCAAAGCCCTTCTAAAATAAAATTGCTGAAGTGTTTCCTTGAATGAGGTTTTTAAGATATAGTCAAGCTGGAATCTTCTGAGTTGTGCAATATCTCTGTTTCTGGAACTGGCTTAACTTTGCATGTGTGAACAGATAAGCCCCTCTCCAGTAAAAGCTGAATGTGAAGAAAATAAAACAGCCTCTGTTGAGGAATTTGTGATTAGCTCAGCTCCAAGTCTGTAAGTGGCCTAAGGCCTGGAGGACTGAGATTTGAGATTTCTGATCCTATAATTGATACAAATGGGACAGAAATGGAAAATCAGGATCTACCTTTGCTACAGGTGTCTTACTGGCGAATGGCAAATTGTTTATCATTGCTACAAGATGATCAAAATTATGCAAGAACAATGATAGAAAGAATGAAATCTTTCAAGGTCCTAAAAGCAGAAATACTAAGGATATAACACCATTACATAAAATCACACCATACAAATGCACACATATGAACAGGCACAAGACAAATAGAAAGTATTTTGATGGAATGTGAAGAAGCAGATGTCTAAGTGCTTGCATGGCACTGGGTACAATTATCTTCATACTGAAAACTTAAGTCTAAATATGGTTTGTGTAAGCTGAACAGTGGTATAGACTTTACTGTTAAGGGTGGAACTACTCATAATGCAGCTTGTAGTTTGGGTGCTATACTGGAAAAATAAAAGGGAAAAAAATATTAGGTCAAGTGAAATATTGCATTTTGTTTTCCAAATATGCAAAAAAAGGCTAGAGCTGCAGCTGCTTAATATGCAATGTTTCAAAATGAAAAATCAAGCTTTATTATCAAAATGAAACATTTAAAAATCAAGTAATTCCTTTCTTTTCAATAAAACCTGTTCTGAAAATTCTCCAGTGCTTGGTCAAAATAATTCTTCTTGCTCTCTTTGATAAGCAAACTCATCCAGCCTGAGAAGTTATATGAGTGTAAAGGTGCATTCATTCCTGTGTTGAGCCATGAACACACTGTGACAGAACAAAAAAGGCATCTTTGTCCATTACAACCATGTCCCCATTTGTTTCAATATAACAGACTGGGGAAGAGGAGAACATCTTTACAATATGTGTAACAGTCAGACTCTTAAATTAGCAAAAAAAAAAATGTGGGTAGACCGAGTCTTTGATTCCTTTCTATGTAGGATTTTAACCATATATTCTGATGTCCTTAATGGGACCTGTGGGAGGTCAGCTTTTTCTAAGAGCAACCATTTTATCCCCAGGATAAAACTTCCCTTAACTGGGAGTTTAATCTCAAGAGCTGTGTTTCTTTCAGCTTAGAAATGAAACGATGCTTTAAGTTTATAATTTGTGATGATTATAGTTAAGTTAGTAGATGATGACCTCAGTTTCTGAAATAAACAGTCATTGCTTGAATAAAAGGCCAACTAATGGGTGAGGTGGGTGTTTGTAATTGTTTGTGTGAAGTTTTTATCAGTGTTTTTGCAACCACTAGTAGCCAGGGCCATTCACATTGATAATATACAGTATCTACTATGCATAAACTAATTCTTTTTGAACTATTTGTAAATGGAAAGTTTAATCATAAAGGTGTAATGTCATGCAGTGGAATTTTCCAGTAAGAAATTTTTTCCATTAATAAACTCTGATTCATCAAATCCAAACTTTTCATGGAAGGTTCACAGTTTAGATGCAGCTTTGATAAGAAATGGTTTTGCTATTCACTGTATACTGTGAGTAGAAAAAACTCCCTTTAGGTCTGGCAGTATCCAACTGGGTGAGAAATTATAATTATTTATGGTATAAATAAATAGATACCATTTATCAAATGGTATATATCTATACCATTTCAAATCTATGTTTTGCCTGTCAGACAATTGTAGAAATGATGTAAGCTTTGATTTTACCTGATGCAGAGCAAAATTAGATTATAAATTTTGTGATATGGAATGCTGATTTTCCAGCCATGTTTAATAATTGAAAGAGTTGACCTTATGTAAAACTTTGGTGTACTTTGATTGTATTAATTCAAAATCAATTTACCAGTTTGCTAAGGAAAAATCCTTCCAGGATTCAAACTTAATATCATAATGATTTTGAAATCTGTGTCTTGTTGGTTATCTTTAGCCAATACTGATATTTGAGAACTGCCATGACATGTTTCCATGTAAAAGATTTTTTTCATTTCTTTGTTACTGTATACCAAAATCTTCTAGCTTTTAGGAAAATAAAACCTGAAATGCATTATTAAATGGTTGATACTGAGATTACAAAACTCTTGAATATGGGGTAATCTGCTTCCCACTTTTGCACAGTGCAGCTGTATAATTTAATTTCCACTGATAGAACTAAAGTCTCGATTCACACGTTACTCATATGAGTTAATACAGAAGCAACTTCTTAAATAAGACTAGTCTTTTGCTGTCATGAATGAAGTGTCAGCACCACTTCTCTGAAGAGTCATGAAACTTAAAGTCAGTACGGTCATAAGAATAATCATTTTGACCAAGATGTTAGTCTTGCTTATAACCTGATGAATTCTTTAGAAAACCATTACTAAGCAGCTAAAAAGCTGTCTGGCTCAGCTTCCAAACTGATTAGTACTGTGTTGCTTTTGGAAGCTGAGTTTAATTTTTGGCACTGCTGTTAGTTCACAATTTTAAAAGAAGTTGCTTTTTCATTTTATATAATGTAATCCTCTTCTTTAGTTTATCTTTAATGTTAGGAGTAACAGCTTTCTACAGCTCTGTGCTGTCAAACTGTGACTTTTCTGACACGAATCTTCCACACCTACCAAAGTTTTTAGTCTGAAAAAAAAGAGCTTTTTTGCTATTTCTTGTCCAAACACAGAGAGCAATCAGAAAGCCTATAATAACCTTTTACGTTACAATGCTGAAAGTTGTGATCTTAAATCACCCAAAACAGCAGATCCTCTGGTGGGAGTCACTCAAACACTGTGGGTAAAAGTTTACTGAAGTTTGTTGTTATTTCCAACTAGTACCTAGGAGGATATAGAGGAGTGTTTAATCATGAAGTGAAATGTTTAATTATTACGACTATAATAAGTGACCAAGGTGACCTAACCTTTGGTTAGTGAAAGGGAGAAACTCCCCAAATATCTGACAATTCTTTACCCTCAGTGGAGTGTATTGTAGAAGTACTTTGTATAACACAAGTGAAAATTAGGGTAGATATTCTATAGATGAGACAGTCCTGTTGGACTAAAGGAGCATTGTGCTGCATTGTGCCTAAGGGTTGTACAGGCAAACACTTTGCACTGTGCTGTTCATCCAGCTCCATTGGAACGCTGCTGTCCCTCTAAGGAAGCCTCTCTGGTTATTCCTCTTCTCTTCAGTTATAACTGAGGTCCACTCCTTCTCTATGGAGATCCATGTGAATACACTCACTATATAGTTTATGCTGATTGGCATAAGAGTAACCGTCAAGAACCTGTTTGTTTCACCGAAAGCCCTATGCATTATTCAAATAAGGGGATTAGTCTTGTCTATCTTCAGCTGTTGAGGAGGTAGCCGTTCTATCTGACCAAGTCACCTGTGGGCTACAGTCTGCTATATAGTCTCTTGAAACTTACCACAAGGTCTAAGCACATCAGCCAACAAGTCGAATGCAGAATCACAGAGGAAGGTAGAAGGTTTGAGGAATAATGTGTGGCCACAGTTGCAAAGACCCAGAGACTCTGTGGTGTTGCCATCGCTTTGCAAATATGGGTGTTGGAAGCCAGTGGGTGCAGGGTCTCCAGTTTGGGGTAGCAGAGCCTATGAGGCTGGAGCTTCTCTGGAACCACAGAACCACCTCTAAATGTCCAGTCACTTAGATCTCGATATCTGAGATGCAAGATATTTATCTGAAGGACCCCAAGAGGAGTATCTGAGAACAGGGCAGAAATGGGAAATATGCAGTATAGGAAGAAGATCAAGGATTGAGTGTGGGATCTGCCTTTGAAGCAATATAGAAAATGCATTACAAGGGGTAAGTGGGTTTCTAGTTTGAATACACGTGTTGCTTGGGACAATGCTGTATTCTTGATTATGTGAAAAAAGTTAGAATGCATTTCTTTCATTTAACTTCTCCAGTTAGAGATTATTGATTGAATCATATTCCTTGGCATCATTTCACTGCCACATAGAATTGAAGTAATAATGTTAACAAGCATAATTTTGCCAAAAAAATGCCAAATTAGACTTATTTTTTGTAACTTGAGAACAGTTGCAAAAAGCCCAGTCCAGATGGCATAATTTGTGCTCCAGCCTGAACCTCTCATTAACTTATGTTCTTGTAGTTCTGCCCCTGCCCCTGCTGGACTGGTGCTTCCAACCTTGTGCTGAATTAAGCAAGGTCTTATTCAGTGCACAGCTGTGGTATCCTAATATTTACTTAGGTGTACATAAAGGAAAACTCTCAGAATGTAATCAACTACTCCATTTATCTTTACGAACTTCACCAAGCCTCTGCCTACCATGTCTGTGACAACATGCTGTTGCTGTACATGGAAACTTTACTTATTTGATAAGACCTCTTATCAAAGTGCTTTTCACAGAAATAAACAGAAAATCATTGATAACTTTATTCTTAGCTCAAGGCTGTCTTGGATGGTAGATCCTAAAGTATATGAATATAGTGCAAAAGCAATATATTTTTCAAAACATGCTGTTGGCCTAGGAAAGTATTTTCATTCATTTATGGTGGTCTAGAATAATGCAAATATTTTACATTATGTCTTTTGTTTGAATTCCATGAACAACACCTACTTTAAAAAGACAATTTGCATTAAAACATGGACAAATTTTTATTACTTTGTTTGAGATGTAGCCAAAATAAATCCATGTGAATTAATTATTAGTTCAGGAAATTATTTGAAAAAAAGGGATTTGTTTTGACAAAACCTGGATTTTTGGAGGGAGCTTTATTTCAAGCATTTAATTTGACCAAAAGTATGTGATTTTGCTGAGGGAGAATTTTAAGTTGGAGGACA